TGTTCGACATCGCCCGGTCCCTGGTGGCACCAGCGGACATCTCGACCGTCTCGTACAAGGACCTGACCGAGAAGCTGCAGGCACATTTCTCCCCGAAGCCGTCGGAGATTGCGTGCCGGCATGCCTTCTATAAGAGGGGTCAGGCGGCCAGCGAGTCGGTAGCGGAGTTTGTGGCCGCCCTACGGAAGTCGCCCTGCAACTTCGCGAATGTGGAAGAGGCCCTCAGAGACCGGCTAGTGTGCGGGATGAGGGACGACCGGCTGCAGCAGAGGCTGTTCGCTAGAAAGGAGCTGACCTGGGCAGCTGCCTATGACGAGGCCATCGCCGCGGAAGCAGCCGACAAGTCGACCCGAGAGGTGCGTCAGCGTTTGGCAGCGACGGAGCTGCGCGTTCACCACCAGGGGGCCGACAGTGACAGCGAGGGTAAGCTGAGTGACGTCTGCATCGTCAAAAAGAAAGCAGACCAGCGGACCCCAGTGAAGACTTCGACCAGCCCAGCCTGCGCAGGCTGTGGCGGGAAGCACCCACGTGAGCAGTGTTGGACGAAAGACGTCACCTGCCGTAAGTGTGGCAAAATGGGCCACATCGCTCGAGCCTGCAGAGCAATTAAGAGGTCCACGCCAGAAGCATCACCCCGGAATCAACGCTCACGAGCAGCACATCGTGAGGACGACCGTCAGACGACATCGAGCCTGTCAACCAAGCCTGCGGTTCGTCGAGTCGGAGGGACGGGGAAGATCCACGTCACAGTCTACCTCAACGGAGTGCCCTGCAGCATGGAGGTCGACTCCGGATCGTCCGTGACCGTCCTGTCCTCCCACACCTGGCAGCGCATGTTCCCGACCAGGAGCCGGCGGCGTTTGAAAGCCGCTGAAACGCAGGTGTCCGATTTCCAGGGGAGGCGCATTCCTCTGGCGGGGAGGGACACCTTCATGGTCGAGTTTAAAGGGAAATGTGTTGAATTGTCTTGTTTGATTGCCGAAGGTAACCGGGTGAATTTACTTGGGTTGGAGTGGTTTGAACCACTCGGTATAGCACTTACTGGAGTGAATGCAGTATCGGAAAATAAATGGGCTGTACTATATAAGGAATTTCCTGATGTGTTCGGGGGCGGTCTGGGAAAGTACAAAGGGCCCCCTGTGTCTTTTGAGCTCGATCCATCTGTGACACCTATACGGTTGAAGTATAGGAAGGTGCCAATCCCGCTTAAACCACGGATCGAAGCCGAGCTGGACAAGCTCATAGCCCAAGGAGTATTGGAGCCAGTCCCATTTAGCAAATGGGAGACGCCTATAGTCACGCCAGTAAAATCGGATGGCTCCATCCGAATATGCGCTGACTATAAGTGCACGATCAACCGTGCCTTGCAGCAGCATTCCTACCCTGTCCCGGTAATCAGCCACGTCCTGGCGTCACTGGGAGGGGGGAAAGTGTTTGCAAAGTTCGACCTCGCCCAAGCCTACCAACAGCTGCCTGTGACCAGGGAGGCGGCTGAGGCGCAGACAATCGTCACCCACAGAGGGGCTTTTCGAGTGAACCGGCTCCAGTTTGGGGTAAACGTGGCTCCAGGAGTGTTCCAAGGCCTCATGGAAGGGTTACTGAGGGGAGTTCAGGGGACTGTCCCTTATTTTGACGATGTGTTGGTGGCTGGGAGGTCCGATGAGGAACTCATGAGCAGAGTTCGAGAGGTACTGAAACGGTTCTCTCAAGCGGGACTTAAGGTGAAACAGTCCAAATGTATAGTGGGTGTTCCCAGTGTGGAATTTTTGGGGTTCAGGATCGACGAACATGGTGTCCACCCCACAGAGGACAAGGTGAGGGCAATTAAGGATGCCCCATGTCCAGGGAACAAAAAGGAGCTCCAAGCATTCCTTGGACTCCTCAATTTTTACCACGCCTTCCTCCCCCACAAGGCGTCGGTAGCGGCCCCACTACATGCCCTCCTGCACAAAGAGGCAAAATGGCGGTGGGGGTCAGAGCAGGAACGGGCGTTCAAAGGAGTCAAGGCATTACTGGTGTCCAATGCAGTGTTGACTCACTACGATGATAATAAAATGTTGGTGTTGGCTGCGGATGCATCTCCTTATGGGGTGGGGGCGGTGCTCAGCCACTTGATGCCAAACGGCGAGGAAGCTCCCGTAGCATTTTATTCCCGCTCACTGTCAAGCGCGGAGAAGGGGTACGCCCAGATCGACAAGGAGGGACTGGCGCTTGTTGCAGCAGTTAAAAAGTTTCATGACTTTTTGTATGGTCGGAAGTTTCTCCTTGTCACCGACCACAAGCCCCTGTTGGGAATCTTTGCCCCGGACCGGCAACTTCCCAACATCATGTCAGCGCGGATGCTGAGGTGGGCTCTGTTCCTGTCCGCCTACGATTACGACCTGGAACATCGGCCGGGTAAGGCGATTGGTCACGCGGACGCTTTGAGTCGCTGCCCTCTGCCCGGCCTGGACTCAGACCCAGCTCCAGCTAGCGAGGTGTTAGCGATTGATGAACTGTCCCAGGCTCCGATCACCTCTAAGGACATTGCGGCTGCGTCCGCTAAAGACATTGTGATCTCCAGGGTTTTGAACTGGGTTTGGAGGGGGTGGCCTGTGGGCTCCGTGGAGCCAGAATTTGCGTGTTACAAAATGCGTCAAAACGAGCTGTCTGTGTCAAAGGGATGTCTTTTGTGGGGAAGCCGGGTGGTGGTCCCTCACAAACTCAGGGAAAAAGTGCTGAAATCACTTCACGAGGGCCATCCCGGCATGGTCCATATGAAGGCGCTAGCTCGCGGGTACGTGTGGTGGCCCAGGCTAGACGCCGACATTGAAGAGTGGGTTCGGGTGTGTGAGCCTTGTCAGCAGGCTAGGCCTGAACCACCAACCGCCACTCCTCAGAGATGGGAGTCGGCGGGAAAGCCCTGGTCGAGATTGCACCTCGACTTCGCAGGGCCAGTACAAGGGCAAATGTTTTTGGTAATTGTAGACGCTTATACCAAATGGTTAGAAGTGGCTCACATGCGATCGACCACTTCTAGCGCTGTCGTCACAGTGCTGCGACAGTTGTTTGCCACTCACGGGTTGCCTGACGTACTCGTGAGTGACAACGGCGCACAATTTACTTCCGAGGAGTTCAGGAGGTTCTTGTCTGATAACGGGATCAGGCAAATGACGGCCGCGCCGTTTCATCCGGCCTCAAACGGGCAGGCCGAGAGAATGGTGAGAACAACTAAAGAAGCCCTTGCAAAGCTGGTATGTGGTGATTGGGGGGTGAAACTAGCTTCGTTTCTCCTGAGACAACATGTTACCCCTTGTTCGGCGACAGGCCGCAGCCCGGCCGAGATGTTAATGGGTCGCCGTTTAGCAACGCTATTAGACAGGTTGCATCCAGATCTGAACGATCTGAAACCACAACCACAGACCGAGAGTCCGAAGGTCCGGACATACGAAAAGGGTGAGCAAGTGTATGCTCGTAACTATGCCAGTGGTCACTCGTGGCTTCCAGCCACTGTCACCGATGTTATCGGTACTAGAATGTATGTGGTACGGCTTGCAGATGGACGCAAGTGGCGTAGGCACATAGACCAGCTGAGGCAGCGGTGGGCAACTGACCGTTCCACCGTGCAGCCGGCTGAGTCTCCAGAGGAATTCCCAAGGCCTCTAGCAGAGGCAGGTACTGTAGAGCCTGAGGGCTACAGTAGTAGTCAAGAGACAGGGCAGACCCCTAATCTTGAGCTACCAGCAACGGGCGGGAATGTTCCTGACTCTGAGACCCCAGAGTCAAGCGGAGTGCCACTGATGGAAATGTGCCCTGAGACCTACGAGCCACCGCGAAGGTCTCAGAGAACGAGACGAGCTCCCACGTACCTAAGTGACTATGATTGTTCCTGAGGGGGGGAAATTGTTGCTTAGGGGGGAGGGAATTGTAGTGTATTCATAGCTGCCATGATACACTAGGACCTATGGTGAAACATCCCATAGGGAAGCCATGCAAAGCTTCGTCTTGGACTGAGGATTCAAGTCCAAGACTACTGGTCCAATCACGTTCAAGCTAGCAACAAGCGGGAACGAGGATGATTGGTCCTTATGCGCTCAACCTGATAGGTTGTTATGTGTATAGTGGGAGTGGCTATGTTAGCCGGGAATGTTTAAATACCGGGCAGTTTCAATGGGCAAACTGTTCGGGCTATCAGATGTTGTACCGTGTCGAAGAAGTGAAGAAAGAGCTGAATAAACTTGAGTCTTTGCTGAATCACTCTCCGACTCATTGTTAAGCGCCGGACTTAACAATGTGCAGATCCCCCGCCGCGGCTTGGCAGCCCTAGACAAACCGGAGGTGCTTTGCCATCGCCTGCCTCCGCGTAGTAGCCCTGGGCTCCCTTGGCGGTCTCCCCTCCAAGTACGAACCAGGGCTGACCCTGCTGGCCTTCCGAGAGATGACTAGCTGGGGCCATCCAGGTCAGGCCAAAAGAAAGACAGTTGGGGTTAAGTGAGCATTGCTGGAATCGTGTTGACATACCAGTTATCTGAAGATACGGTAGCATGAGGTTCAAGGGAGCTGTATTGGTGATCCAAAGTCAGACTTTGACTTAAATCCCATGAAGCCTGCAACTCGGGACAGGGTTCTGGGGTTAAAATGAGATGGTGAGAGCCAAGTGGTGTCCCGAGTCTTCTTGGAGGAAAAGGAGGATCAAAGTGTAATTAATCAATTAAAAAGGAGTTTGGGGTCTTTGGTTCAAAATGGAACTCAGCCAGTTCAGTGACAATATTCATATTCTGATGGAAGAGAATACATTTTCTCCCCCGTTTCCTGTCCCACCCATAGACCCGATGCTGGCCAAACTCACAGTGTAACTTGAATGCTTATTGAGAGGATGTAGGTGAAGTGCTTTCGGGGGTAGGAACCTGTATATAATCAATATCACTAATACTTAATGAAGCTGTGATTTGGGGGCATGAACTCGGACATCCTGACTCCCCCCCCCCCCGATATCATCTTATAAAGGGGTTGGACAAAGTCTTGGAGGGTAGGTCAAGCACAGGTTACCTGCCATGGTAACGATAAGAAACCTCCATGTTCAGAAGCTGAAAACCTCAGAATACCAGTGCCAGGAGGCAACATCAGAGCAAAGCCTTGGTTTCTAAGCCCTGTTGTTGGCCCTCACGTAGTAAATGGTGTGAAACAGGATGCTAGACTGGAGGGACTTATATACCGAGGGTAGAGTCGTCTGTATTCATGGCCCAGAAACAAAATAATTTAATAATTCAAGTCTTGTCATTTAGTATTTTTTCATATTAAAAATAAATGCTGTGATGTATATAATTAATTTGTCACTTGTTTTAGTTCTAAAAACCCGAATTCAAACCCTCAAGAAAGGCCTCGGAGAGGACACCTATAATGGGATCATCGACTGTGCCAGGTAAGCCGAACTGGGGAATGGTTTCAATGAAATGGATGCGGTGATTAAATGGCTTTGTTGTAAGTCTTTCAGTCCACCATACCTTACAGTACTGGTTAGGAAGAAGAATCAGAATTGAGCAAGTGTTTGCCAGAGGCGCATCAGTGTTTTTGTGCTGAGAGATTCCTCCTTAAACCTGGGAGCATTGATTGAGTCACGGATCCACAATGCATGTACATTGGAGGCACGATCTGTTTGCTGCAGGAACTGCCATTGTAACCGCAGTGTCCCCCGTGTTCCAAATACACTTCACTTGTAAACCATAAAGCTGCAGCCATATCCCACCTCTGCCAGAAGTTGGAGAAAGTGGGAGCAGCTGGGAAGAGTTTGTCCGTGCCTGTTAGGAGTGTGTGTGTGGGGGGAGGCCTGCATTGCACTCTGCAAAATGGTTTGTGTGTTTAACTTGCACAACTTGTCAGCATTCAGTAGAACTGCTCAGCCTGCATTTGCTGCACCAACTCAGTTTGGTGTAGTGGTTAAGTGCGCGGACTCTAATCTGGGAGAACCGGGTTTGATTCCCCACTCCTCCACTTGGACCTGGCTGGATGGCCTTGGGCAAGCCGGAGCTCTGATAAGAGCTGTTCTTGAAAAAAGAGCAGTTTCTGTCAAGAGCTCTCTCAGCCCCACCTACCTCACAGGGTGTCTGTTGTGGGGAGGGGAAGGGAAAGGAGTCTGTAAGCCGCTATGAGACACCTTTGGGTAGTGAAGGGAGGGGTATAAATCCAATCTCTTCTTCTTCTTATCTGCAGGAAGGTCTGGATTCATGAGGGCCCGGCTGCCTTCATGAAAGGGGCCGGATGCCGAGCGCTGGTGATCGCTCCTCTGTTTGGCATAGCTCAAGGGGTCTATTTCATTGGCATTGGAGAGTACATTTTGGGATTTTTTCAGTAGCACCCACTCTGGCTGAGCCGACCACTAACCAAGACTGCACAAGCTCTCTAAGCCGACTGTTAGAAGGGCAGGACTGTCCTGTGGACACAGACCGACCGACCGACCGCAAGCAAGACGCCAGGCTTCTCCTGCCCCGGGAAGAGGATGCTCAGTGCTACATCACGATGTCCGGCGTTCTGTTTCCTAGTAACAAACTCATGAGCCACAGGGAGGGCGAACTGGCAACACTGACCCCTTGTACTCTTAGGGCTGCAATCTTACGTTAATGCAACTGAGTAAATACCACCGAGCTTGTTTATACTTCTGCAGAAATGGGCACGGGACCAGAAACACTTCTCCTCTGATTGGACCGAAGGCTGCTCTTCAAAACTAGGAGATCTAGCGTCTGATCCTGAAAACAAGGTATGGGACAGCAGCAGAGGTGTCCGAAGCCCTCACCACCCGTATGAACAGCCATCCTTGATGGAGACGGGGCAGAGCTTATGTGTGTCTTTGCACACGACAGTCAAGGAAGTCCTACTCTTTTAGCCATTTATGTTGTTCTTTTGCTTTGACGGAGTTCGGTGTTCTGACGCCTTTCTTTTCCTTGCCCTGATTCTCTAAAAATGGGGGTGGGGGGGAGGAGAGGATGCAGTAGTGATTGCATGTCGACCACCAGGGGCTGAGTAGTAATTCAGAGCTTGTTTGTTCTAAGCCCAAACCGCCATATCTCACCAACAGTCAGGTCAGACAAGACTGAACAAGGTTAGCTTTTTAAAGTGGTCTTTTCCTTTGCATCAGAGCTGTTTTAGTGGCTGGGACTTCTTTATAGCCTGCAGAAGTAAGTTGAACAAGCCGGTGGCCTTACATGGATCCTCTAGAAGCGATGCACCAGGTATTCAGATTCAGGCGGAACGAACTGTACCCTTGGGCTGCTCTGAGGCATCAGTGTGCTGAAGGAGGAAAGCACTAATTATAATCAAAAGCAAACATAAGTAATGGAGCTACTGTTAGAGAGGCTTATAAACGGTACAGTAGCACAGGCTCCTTCTGAAGGAGCTGCTGTCTACCAGGTCAGACCGTCCCTTGAACAAGCAAGCAGAAGGGCTGTCCCCAATGATGGCCTTCTGACGGAAGATGAAAACAAATCCTGCAAAGCTATTGAGAGTACCACTGATGGGGAAACTCTTTCATCAGCATCCTTAACTCTTGGAATATAATAGGCAGAGTCACTGTGACTTAAAAAGCAGTGAAACTTTGGAACGCTGTCAGAAGCTCAGTATTCTTCTGGTGGGGGGATTTCTTCCTGTGCTTTAATGGGGGTGGCAGTGTAAGGGGAATAATTATGATTTCTGCTGTTTTCCAATAAAACTTCAACATGTGTGATTTCTTTGCAAATCATTCAGTTTTGCAGTCAAACAAGGTGCCTGCCAATCTCTAGTTCTCCTTATGACTTAGCAACATGGGTACAAGTGATAAACTGCAGCAGGGGGTCCCCAACCTTTCTGGGCCTGTCGGCATCTTTGGAATCATAAGACAGCATGATGGGTGCGGTCACAAAATAGCTGCTGTAGCTACAGCCTTCAGTCACACCATGAGAGCCAGTTTGGTGTAGTAGTTAGGAGCACGGGCTCTAATCTGGGAGGTCCGGGTTTGATTCCCCACTCCCCCACATGCAGCTGCTGGTGTGACCTTGGGTCATTCACAAGTTCCCTCAGAGCTGTTCTCTCACAAGCAGTTCTCAGAAGAGCTCTCTCAGCCTCACCTACCTCACAGGGTGTCTGTTGAGGGGAGGGGAAGGAAAAGGAGATTGTAAACCACTCTGAGACTCCTTCGGGTAGCGAAGGTGGGGTATAAATCCAATCTCCTCTTCTTCATTCTTGTGCTGTGGTGGCAGCTGCCGCCGAAGCAACATTTATTAAAATGTGCACAGCTAATCAAATCTCCAATGGTCAGTCAGAAACCTTCCTGGGCAAAAGCCCCAACCACTTTCTAAAAGCACTCGGTGGGCACCCCTCCTGGTACTGTAGCAATGGAGGACAAAAAAAACAACACTCATCTCTTTTATTTTAACAAAGAAATTACAGGGCTAGCCTTTTATATTTATATATGTATCCTGAAGCCACATATACAGAACGAAAGGTCGGAGCTGATCACATCACCATGCGTCGCAGCCATCCAAGAGAAATATATGCTCTGTTTGAACCAAGTATGGACGAACGGTGGGTAAGCGGCGTGGGGTTGATGACAAACCTGGAAGGGGAGTGGTTTAAGCAACATCTGACCACTGGGATCCTCCCACTTGTACTAAGCCAGCCCAATGGCGGACTCCTTGCGTCGCACACCATGGCTCTAGGGAGAGAGGTCTTCCAGCCCCTTTCCTGGTCAAGCTAAGCACAGCAGGTATGCAAGAAATAATTTACCTGAAGAACTTACACAGGGCAACACAGTATATAGCACTGAGTACACTTTCAAGGGGGGTGGGGGATTGCCTGCTGTTTCATTAGAGATGCTCAGGCGTCTCCATTCTGGCAGTGGAAGAGATTCCACTCTGCTTCACAGCATTTTAGTCCAAGAATTTCCTGTTGGTGTTGGCACCGAAGAGTGCCGTTCGGATCTCCGGCATCATCTGTTGAGAGAGAAAGAGAATTGCATTGTAGGGTGTTCAAGAAGTCCTTGATGACAACACACAGGAATGCATCAGGCACAAATCCACCTTCTTGACCTTGCATGAATGACTGCTCAAGGGTCCCAACCAAGACCCCCAAATACAAGGGCCTGATGTGAGTGAGGTCACGGGCTGCTTCTTGTACCGTACAACACTGATAAAGGCTTATTAAGGGGTACTTCTGACCTGCAACCATTTCTAAGTATTAGTTGCCATGGAATTGGTACTTCCAACAACATCCTCCTCAAGATTGTTGTGAAACATTAGCTCTTAATCTATCCATGCCACACATTTTTAATTCCTCCAGTAACATAGGGTCACACCACAGAGCCACTTTTAGGTAACCCTCCTAAAATCTTATATTTAACCCTTCTGTTAGTGAACAGAGATTCTCCCATGCCAAGTCTTTCCTTCCCAAACTAGTCTTTGAGACCCAGAGAACATGAATTCCCCAATCAGAAAATTCCGTTTGGCCATGTATTTCTACCAGTCCTCAAGGGGCTTCAAAGAGCACTTACTTTATTTAGCAATGAATCCAATTATTTACCAAATGTTATATGTGTGTGTATATTTTTAAATGAATAAAGTGCTGAAACATCTTAGTATTTAAATTACAATAATACCAATATAAATGTCTATGTATCATCCTAATAATAATCATAGAAGTAAATCTATCTCGAAAAAATACAATGTAATGATTCCATGTTTTTTTGGGGGGGGGATATCTTTAAATGTTGAGTTTGAATGCAGTAACGTAAGGAGAGTGATAGGGGGAGATGAGTGTGCTGTGATTGGCTGACTGAGAGTGTGAGAGGAGAGATGTTTTATGACAGAGTCTTGTGTGTGAAGTTGGAAGAGACAGCATGATCTGTCTGACTATGGAATGTAGCTTATATTCTGTGTGAAGAAGGCAAACAATGTAGTCTGAGTGACTATAAGAGCTGATTCTGCTCTGGGTGAATAACACAAGGAGATTAGCCTGTTTGGTCATATATATCAGAGAGAGAGAGAAAGATTATGCTGAGAGTCTATGCCTGTCAGAGTGAAGTCTGAGTGACTGTTCGTAACACCAAGTTTTGCCAGTTATATTTACAAGTTCCTTTTTCAGTAACAGTTCAGAATAACCAGAAACTTATTTTGTTCTTTATTAAATAATTTTTTTAATTTAAGCTTATCCCAGCTATCAGTACAGTTCTTCCTCAGGGCCACATAGTCCTCTGAAGTGCCCAGACCCAAAGTCATTCTACCAGCAGAGAGAGAGAGAGATTTGGAATTTTTAATTCCTGGTGGCAGCAGAAATCTACCAAGTTTAGGTACACAAAGCGTGTTTAAAGGTAAAACTTTAACCTTTACTTTTACCCCTATAAGCAAGGACCCCACATACAAATACTCCACAAATCACATATAAGAATCCACAAAAACATATAGGTACTTTAAATCAGAACAATGAACTGGTGTGTTTTCTGTAACTACATGGTTTAGGTAAAGGTATAGGTTTACCTTGCTTGAAATCTAGTCGAATCCGACTCTAGGGGGCAGTGCTCATCTCCGTTTCCAAGCCAAAGCGCCAGCACTGTCCGAAGACGTTTCTGTGGTCATGTGGCCAGCGTGACTAAACACTGAGGCGCACGGAATGCTGTTACCTTCCCACTGAAGCAGTACCTATTTATCTACTTGCAATTTCTTGCTTTCAAACTGCTAGGCTGGCAGGAGCTGGGGCCAGAGACGGGAGCTCACTCTGTCACAGGGCACTAGGGTCTTGAACTGCCGAACTACAGACCTTCTGGTCTGCAGCTCAGCATCTTACCCTCTGAGCCACCGTGGCTCCTACTATATGGTTTAGGTTCCTTTAAAATACTGATTAGAGACTTGTTAGCATTCCAGAATGAGGGGCGGGTATGGTTTAATTTACAATTTTCCTTCACTATAGAGATGAATTGTGGCAGTAAACATCCATATATATGGGTTTCCTCTGAATGAAATGGTTAAGTACGTTTTCCTTATATTGTATATAATATATAATAGTTGGCTGGCTTTTTGCATGTCGTTATGTGGGTCCCTTTAAAAAAGATTTTTTCATGTTCATTGTTTACACCTGTGAAACTAATCTATTTCTTGGAGACCTGTGGTTGGCCTCAGTAAGAACGCTATACTCAGCTTGAAACACTCTGATGAGACACTGTGATTTAGAAGGTAAATGCGTTCCGTTATGAATGTGTCCTGTAATTAGTGGAGACTGAGTATATCTTTTTGTGGTTTCTTATATGCAGGGGTCATTTCCTGCAGGAGCGCACAGGAGCAGAGCTCCAGCAGTAAAGAGCCCAGGGGGCAGGCACATGCAACAAGCCCCACCCCCTGCTCCCAGGAGCCCTCAATCAGAGCAAGAAGCAGCCAGTTAAGTTGAAGAGCTCCCCCTGCCCCCCCCCCGGTCCAAAACAGTCCAGTGGCACCTTTAAGACCAAGTTTAATTCAGGTACAAGCTCTCCCTCCTCTGTGAGGACAGATCTGCACATCCCCCCCCCCAATAGCTAGTAATCCAAAACAGTCCAGTGGAGCCTGAGTGGTGGGTGTTGCCTTCTGACACATGGTGAGCTTAGAGGGTGTGGCATATGCACATAAGTTATGCTAATGAGCTCCTGCACCTCTTTTTCTACGAAATGACCCCTGCTTATATGTGATCTGTGGAGTGTCAATACAGTAGATAATTTACATGTTTTATGTAGGACCACTTGAAGGAAAGGATTATCAGCTCTTGAAAAAGGTGACTCAAAAGGATGCTATTGAACATCCATAGAGATTTGGTTTTGCTGATGCAGTGACTCTTTGAACAAGTTTGGAATATTATGGACTATTTAAAATTGTTTCATGTCCTCCTCTGGATACTAATGTGATTAAATAGGGAACATAATGTTTTTATTTTTTGAAGACGGACTTACTTCTGTAATTGATTATTAGGATGAAACATGGGCATATATATTGTTTTAACAAGATGTTTCAGCACTTTATTCATTAAATAGATGTACATATAACATTTGGTAAATAATTAATTGGATTCATTGCTAGTTTTGACACGGTAATTGTTCTGTTCTGATATATTGTTAATTAAAGGCCTGCCTGATCATTAAAAACAAACCACTCGACACCTTAAAATCGACTATCACCAATCCTGGCTGTTTTATATTTTCTCCCATGCAGCCATTTGTTAAGATAACACCGCCCCAGAGACACAATAAAGGACTGGTGTGTGTGGAAAGACAGCGCTGTGTTCCTTTCCTTCTTCAGCACTCAATATGCGCTTGTCATCTAAAGAGGGAGAAATCTAGTGCCACTCCTAGAAAGGGGCATCATGCCCACTGCAGGGGAGGGAGAGGAAGGAGCAGAGACTTGGCCCAAGCTTACCTGCTGGGCGATCAGATCCAGCCGGCTTTCCAGAGTATTAGACACTTTTATTTTATTGTCACTGTTGTAGATTTCGACACCTCCAGCTCTGGAAGAGACAATAGTGTTAAGAAGATGAAGAGAAGAGATTGGATTTATACCCCACCCTTCACTACCCGAAGGAGTCTCAGAGCGGCTTACAATCTCCTTCCCTTTCCCCTCCCCACAACAGACGCCCTGTGAGGTAGGTGGGGCCGAGAGAGCTCTCTCTCGAGGACTGTTCTTGAGAGAACAGCTCTGAAAGAACATGTAACTGACCCAAGGTCACTCTGGCAGCTGCATGTGGAGGAGTGGGGAATCAAACCCGGTTCTCCCAGATTAGAGTCCGCGCTCCTAACCACTACACCAAACTGGCTCTCAGCCTGACAGCATAAACTATCCACCCAGGCAACTGCCGTAAGGTAGGCACCACAGAGCTGAATTGGAGCGCAACCTGCCTGGCTCTTCTTCAGGGCTTCTTGCCTTTTATTCTGCAACAAACTGGGCTTTATATAAAGGTGATAACATAGTAGTGTCCCTATATCCACTGGTGCCCATGCTAGAATACAAAGATCCCTATTTTGGGGAGCATATTTATATTTCCCAGATGGCCCAGGCGGGCCTGATCTCATCAGATCTCAGCAGCTAAGCAGGGTCAGCCCTGGTTGGTACTTGGATGGGAGACCACCAAGGAAGTCCAGGGTTGCTATGCAGAGGCAGGCAATGGCACACCATCTCTGAACGTCTCCTGCCTTGAAAACTATGAATTGGCTGCGACTTGACAGCACTTTCCACCACCAATTCAGTGCTGAACGATCCAACACCTGCTTGGAATGCTCAGACTTAAAGAGCTGCAGCACCCAGCTTTGTTGATACAAAAACGGGCACCTGGGTGGAATCAGTGGGATGGGAGGGGAGGGGCAGCTAAAGAAAAACAAGTTTCCCACAACATCCCGTCCTGAACAGTTGTTAAGAGTGCTGAATTCGGATTCGGAGACCTGAGTTCAAATCCCTACTCTGCCACGGAAGCCGGCTGGGTGACCTTGGGCCAGTCACTCTTGCTCTCAGCCTAACCTGCCTCAGGGGGTTGTAGTGAAGATAAAATGGAGGAGGGGAGAAGGATGCTGTAAACTGCTTTGTGTGTGTGCCCCCCCCCCAATTAGGGAGAAAAGCAGAGTATAAGCATTTAAATAAACTGATTCCTCTGAAAAATAAGGTGGATCATCGGCTTTCCAGGAAAAACCTGAAGTGATGAGGTATAGTTTAAATGAAATCCACATGGATCTCCCCTCCTCTCCCATGAAGCTGTAAGCCTCAATTAAAATTTGGTATGACCAACCAAAGGCGAGGGTGGGGTTGTCACTAAATGTAGATCACAAGCCAACAGGTGGTTTCACCAGTCTGCTATCATGTCCAGGCAGAGGTCATTTCGGGGGGGATCGCGGGGGATCGCAGTTCCCCCGGGTGAGGTACGGGGGGGCACATGACGAAGCCCCGCCCTCTGCTTCCGGCCGCCCCGCTTCCGGCCCTCATTCAGCCAGGAGGAGGCAGGAGAAGAGGGAGGGTAAGTTGCTTCCTCCCTGCCTCTCCCCACCCCTGCCTGCCTGGGGCCAGGGAGGGCCTTCGCGGGGCTTCCTTGCACTCCTGCCGGCCTTGCAGGTCCACCGCCGGGCCCCTCATGGGGCTCGGCAGTGGAGCTGCAAGGCCAGCAGCGGCGGCCGGGACCGTTGGGGGCGGGCTGTGTGGCCTTATGACACCCTTCCGGTGATGTCAGGGGGTGTGGCCTTATGACACACTTCCGGTGATGTCAGGGGGTGTGGCATATGCTAATGAGTTGTGCTAATGAGTTCCCCTAGCTCTTTTTCTACGAAACGACCCCTGTGTCCAGGGTTCTTCTCAAAGCACCAGACAGTGAAATCCGGTTTCTATTTGGGACAAAGTCTGAGTTCCTAGGAGCTGCGGTGGCTCAAGTGGTTAAGATGCTGAACTGCAGGCTGTGGAAGGTCAGTAGTTCAGCAGTTCGAGACCCGAGTTGCCGCATGACGGAGTGAGCTCCCGTCTCTAGTTCCAGCTCCTGCCAACCTAGCAGTTCGAAAGCAAGAAATTGCAAGAAGATAAATAGGTACCACTTCAGTGGGAAGGTAACAGTGTTCCGTGCGCCTTGGTGTTTAGTCATGCCAGCCACATGACCACGGAGATGTCTTTGGACAGCGCTGGCTCTTCGGCTTTGAAACGGAGATGAGCACCACAACCCTAGAGTTGGACTCGACTGGCTTTCGAGCAAGGGAACCTTTACTTTTACCTTTACCTGAGTTCCTAAGTACTCTTATGCTGAAGAACAACCAAAAGGAGAGCCTAAGGACCACCCCTAAGAATAAGCCCTGCCTACTGAATTCAGTGGACCTTCGTTCTGAGTTAGCAACCAACCAGGCAGACAAGCAGGCTTTGTCTGACCAGGAAGCTTTTTTCCCCTTACCCCTTTTATAGGTTCCTGAGAAGCGCTGGTAAGTCCTAACCTGTTACTTACCACTTGCTGCTTTTACATCATGAGGACACACACAAAAAGCCAGACCTGGGCAGAAGCGAGTGGTGGGAGGGATGCCTCCCCTGTCCATAAATCGTTGAGCGAAAGGGGAGGGAGTGGAAGAATAAACAAGAAATTGCCCAGAAGTACTCATTCATCGAGCTATACAGATAAGCGTATATTCAGAGACTTAAAAATTTATTGTGAAAGCAAACAAACGAGAAAAAGATGGGGGGGGGGGGAAGGGAAAGAGACAAAGAGAAATTTTAAAAAGCG